ATAAAGGTTCTGACATATCCAACTGGTGATCGTCAAGATATAAGGATATTTTTGTGCCTATGGTCAACTCTGTAGATGCCCTTGATGCAATTATCATTTCGCAGCTTAATCGCCAATGGTTCAATTGATAACGCAAAAAGAAGAGGGGATAAGGGACATTCTTTTCTCGTACGATGAAGAAGTGGGAAATAAGAAAGGTTCTAACACGTGCCATAGTTGAGGAGTAAAGTAACTGAACCCATGAAATGAAGTTAGGGCCAAATCCAAATTTATTTAGAGAATAAAACAGGTAATCCCACTCCACCCGGTCAAATGCCTTCTCAGCATCGAGTAATAAGGCAATTACAGGACCTGTAGTTGACTCTATGTGTAATGTGTTTTAAAACCTGCGCAGGTTGAAAAAACCATGCCTGCCCTTCATGAAACCTGTCTGATCTGGAGAGATTAACAACGGTAGATATTGCTCTAACCTGACAGCAAGTTTTTTTGACAGTATTTTTAAATCTACATTTAAAAGTGATATAGGACAGTATGATGAACACTCTAGTGGATCCTTATGTGACTTCAGTAAGATTGAAATGGTCGCTTGTCAAAGCATTAGGAGAAGACATTTTGAAATGACTCAATGAACATGTCTCGTAATAATGGTGATAAACTGTCCTTAAAGGTCTTGAAGTATTCAACCGGATAACCATCCAGACCTGGGGATTTGCCACTCTGCATTGAACTAATTGCCAATTTAATTTCTTTCACTGTAATTTTCTCCTCCAATTGGTCTCTGTATGCCGAGTAAAAGTTGGGACTGCCATTCCATCAAAAAAAGTCTCAAACAGTTCAGGTGTGTTTAAAGATTCTGTCATGAAATGGCTGTGGCAGGCAGGATGTAGGACCCAAAATGCAGGACACTCAGATGGAGGAGTAAACTCAAAGAGGTTGCTTTATTGCAGTTATAGGACAAAACTCCAAAAACAATAACTTGCAAAAAAACCCAAAACAACCAGAACCAGAAACTAAACTCTAGGAAACCTGGAGACAAGAG